TATCCGTCTTTAGTTAAAAAATATTAATATTAAATTAGAACAAGTAAACAAATTACGCACTAAAGAATTCCAGTTAATTATACATTAATTAAGTATTAATGCCTAACAATAGACAACCGCGTTAAGCATGCAATGTTTCAACTAATGATCCATTGTTTGGTAGTGTTTTTCGTAATGTGAACTAATTAAGTAGTAATTAAGTACAGGAATTAATAATGAAAATTTTAAGCTGACTTTGTCCCTTTAAAATTAGCTATGTTGATTTAAGTTTGACTTATGTCTAACATTTTGCTTATTGTTAATGCTTGATTTTAACACCAATGATTCGTACATATAAAGTGTTAAGTTGACTTAGAAATTACACGTGAATGAAAAATATAATGAAGTAAATAGAAGATGATTTTTAAAGTGGTTCGGATGCTTAAAATGAATCATACGTCCACTGTTCTTTTATTATTCTCTGACTATTTTTATAATATTCCTTGTAAGGCATACAAAGAATGGAGAAATGTTTTATTTATAGAGAAAAAATAATAAAACTCAAATGTTTGTCTAGCTTTCATATGCCCCGCCTCTCTTCTTTCGTGAAGAGATGTGCATATTTATACTTTCGAGGTCAATGTAATTAATGTTTTTTCAAGTTGTCTTGACATGTGGGGACCACTTCTTAATCCTTATTTTAAAATGAGATAGAATTGATATAAAATATCTCTTGGAGGTGGTTTGGGTTGATAACAGCTAATATCACCTTATCTTTATGTATTTATTGAACTATAATTGGTGGTGCTGACATCAGTGTGTATTTTTGGCACAACAGAAGTCTCCCAATTTTTGGAGTGCGTAATTGCACTTCAAAAACTCATATCTTAGATCTAAATGGTTGTCGCACTATAGGCTGTAGTCTCAAACTGAAGAGCTTGAACTATGTCTAGGGTGATCAGGTGCTGAGAACTAGGACTACGATCTGAGCGCTTGGAGTGATCCGAAGCTGAGCACGATCTAAAAACTGACATAAAATGTCCAATAGATGAATTCCTAAAGAGAGCTAATGTCAGAAGCCCAAACGCACTAGAGGCCTTAAACGGACAAGCCAACTTAAAACAGCTATAATTTTTTATCTGAGAGGAGTTTTGGAGCCTGTAAGATATCCACAGAAAGCTCGTTCCAAGCTCTACATCGTGACAACAAGGGAACTTGGTTATGGCCCTTTTTGGGGCCAAAATCCACAGTTTCAGCATGTTTCGGGGCTGTTTTGAGTTTTCTACGCTTTTTTTCTAACACTAGCAACTGGTCGCAATCTAAGAGCTGAGAACTGATCGCGATCTGAGAGCTGAGAACACAACCTGAGGTTGTTCGCTATCTTAGAGCTAAGAGCTAATTGCGATTTGAGAGCTAGGAGCTGATCACGATCTAATAGGGGCTCGACCTGAGAGCTTGTGGCGTGCGATCTAAACGATCCACAGTGTGCGATCTTAAGCAAATGAGCGAGCTTATGAGCTTGATCAAAGAGCATAAGAAGCTCGATCAGTGAGCATAAAGAGCTCGATCAGTGAGCATAAGGAGCTCGATTAGAGAGCATAAAGAGCTTTAATCTTAGAACTCAAAAGCTCTTTGCGAATCTGAAAGCTTGAGAACTCTTTGCAATCTGAGAGCACAAGGAGCTCGATCAAAAAGCACATAGCACAAAGAGTTAGATCAGAAAGTGTGAAGCTTGATCTGAGAACAGAAGAAGTTCGATCAGAAAACGCGAAGCTTGATCTGAGAACATAACAGGTTTGATCAGAAAGCAGAAACTTGATTTGAGAACTCAAGATCAGCGATCTAGGTGCTCGGAAGCGCGATCTGGGTGCTTAGAACCACGATCTAGCTGCTCGAAAGCACGATTTGAATGATCTGAACGCATGATCTCAACGATCTTGAACACGTGATCTGGATGATTTGAGCGTGCGATTTGCAATCTGGCCACACACTCTAAATGATCTGAACACGTGATCTCAACGATCTTGAATGCGCGATCTAGATGATCTGATCGTGCGATCTAGATGATCTGATCGTATAATCTGTGATCTGACCATGCGATCTAAGAGCTTTGATGCGTGCGATCTACAATCTGACCACGTAATCTGAGAGCTCTGATGCGTGCGATCTAGGATTTGGCCACGAGATCTACAAGATCTGAGAGCTCTGATGCATGTGATCTGCGATTTGACTACGCTATCTAGGCGATCTGAGCATGCAATCTGCTATCTGACCATGCAATCTGAGAGTTCTGATGCATGCGATCCATGATCTGGCCACGCGATCTAAGAGCTCTGATACGTGCAATCTAAAGCAGAAGATCAAAGCGATCTGAATGTGCGATCTACGATCTGGCCACGCGATCTAAGAGCTCTAATGCGTGCTATCTGAAGCTGAAGATTAGAGCGATCTAAACGTGCGATCTGCCATCTGACCACGCGATCTGAGAGCTCTAATGCGTGCAATCTGTGATCTGGCCATGCGATCTAGGCGATTTGAGTGTGCGATCTACGATCTGGCCACGCAATCCGAGAGCTCTAATGCATGAGATCTGCGATCTGACCATGCGATTTAAGGGCTTTGATACGTAAGATCTACGATCTGACCATGCGATCTGAGAGCTCTGATGCGTGCGATCTGCAATCTGATCACGTGATCTGAGAGCTCTGATGTGGAACAAGCTTCAGTATTTTGACGATAACTTGAGTTGTAGATGTTGGATTTGGAAGATTCTTAAACCATCGGAAAGCTAACTCGATGGGCTACAACTCTTGCATTTATCACATTGCCAGATTCAGACTTTATCAAGCTCAAATTTTCACAACTGATAATGTGAAGATTTTGAGGCTTGCTGGAAAAACATGGAGAGCTAATGTGAATCATGCCCTCCTTCTAGCGTCAAACTATTGATGCTTGATTCTGACACCAATAATTCACAAGTGTAAAGTGCTAAGCTGACTTAGAAATTACATGTAAATGAAAAATGCAATGAAGTAAATAGAAAATGATTTTTAAAATGGTTCAGATGCATAAAGTGAATCATACGTCCATTGTTCTTTTATTATTCTTTGACTATTTTTATGATATTGCCTATAAGGCATACAAAGAATGGAGAAATGCTTTGTTTACAGAGAAAAAATAATAAAGCTCAAATGTTTGTCTAACTCTCATATGCCCCGCCTCTCTTATTTCATGAAGAGATGTGCTCATTTATACTTTTGAGGTCAATATAATGAGTGTTTTTGCAAGTTGTCTTGACACGTGAAGACCCGTTTTTAATCCTTATCTTAAAATATGATATGATTGATATAAAATATATTTTGGAGGTGGTTTGGGTTTATAACAACTAATACCACCTTATCTTTAAGTATTTGTTGAACTCTAATTGATGGTGCTAATATTGGTGTTTATTTTAGGCACAACACATATAAATACTCTTAGCTTTTTGCTCGATTGAAACCCATCAAAGTGTCGTCGTTATTTACTCAAGAGTGATTGAGCAATTTAAAAGCAGTAAATTCTTTATTATTTACTCAATATGGCTCTACTTGGTAGATTCAGAAATATGAACCTCCCGATGTCCATTAATATTCAAGCCCTATTAACCCAAAAAATTATCACTCCGTAAGTTGATTTTTTTATCAAGTTCTTGATATTTTCTTTCAGCATATATAATTATATATATATAACGTTTTCTTTTAATTTAATTTTTCTTATCAACAGGAAACACGCAGATAAAATTGAAGGGGGAAGCGATCATCCACAAATCAATAGAGAAAATCCTTCCAGGAAACTGATCGCAGTTCAGAGTGATATCGGAAATTTTAAGTTAAATGTTGCAGAAGAAGATCATAACAGTACTATAGCAATCTTAGCTGCTGCTAAATCTGGAGATACCATCGATGAGGGAAACCCTCAAGAAATATATGCTTTACTCGATACTAATAACACTATAGTACCCTTAGCTGCACAATCAAGTCCACCTGAAGACAAACCAGGAAGTTCTGCAGAAACCAATCCTGAACCAAATGCTACGAACGATAATAATAACAAGAAGTAGATGCTTCTACTGGATGCGGCTATTACTTCATCATCAACTAGTTAAAAGAACATCAACTCATCATCCTCTGAACTATTTAGCTTTGATTAATATCTAATGTTGCAGAAGAATAAATTATCTAGTGTGTGTGTGTGTCCACTCAGCTACAGTGATGGGCAAGCGGCTGGTGATTTGATATTTCTGTTCATGGAATCTGATTGAGAAATCCATTTAGTTCATTTTTAATTTCCCATGTTCTTGTTCCTGTTCTTTTTTCTGTTGTTTTTGTTTTTGTTTTGTTTTTTGCTTGAGAAATCATGTTGATTATGAATGAACTCTTTTTATATGTTGGAAATTATAAATTAAGTTGGTGTGGGTGTTAGGATCTTTTTCTTATGTTGGATCATCTTCTTGCATATCCAAAACCAAACCCAAACCCAAACCGCTAGCACCAATTTGAGACAGTATATGAGTAGAATTGTTTTCAAAAACAGTTTTTGAATACAACCCTAAAAACTAATGTAAAATTTGAAAACGATTAAAAGTCTTTTTCATGGTCTTCTACCGTTTTTAATCTAAAAACAATATTTAAATTTTATATCAGACAAATTTACAATTATTAAAATACAATTAAAAAATTTGAATAGCATTTTAATTTTTGAAAATTATTTTTGTATCCAAACATGTTACTTTCAAGTTTCACAAATATATTTTTCTAATTTTTGGGATACTTTTCATTCAATCACGTATTTATTTACTTATTTTGGGCCTAAATTACATCTTTTAAAGCTTTAATAGGTATAAAAACTACTTCAGTGGATGTAAATATTCCTTTTCTAGAATGGGCTGGCCCAATATTAGCTTCGGCGTCGTTTTGTCCCAATCATTTTTCTCCGCAAAACTCATTTTCTGCAGCTCTGCAGCTAGCTTTTGTTCACTTCAAATCTCGTCTAAAACCCCACAAAAACCCTCGTTTCAGCCTTGTCAATGTCTCTCTTCAAAACCCTAAACCCTTCTCAGATTTCTCGCAACAAACATATCTCACTTCTTTCAGTCTTTCTCAGGACCCTAACATCAGTGCCATCTCAAAACCAAACCAGCAACAAGAAGCCTCTGTCTGTTCTTTTCGAAGAAGCCGTGGGGTTACGTAAAAAAGCAGACAGCGACAGCGAAAACGATACCACCAATGTGTTGAAAAATGGGTTGAAAGAATTAGAGCGAGAGGTGAGAGATTTGAAAGCCAAGAATCAAGAGACCGTGAGTGTTAATTTTGAAAAAAAAGAAGAGACAAAGAAAGTGAAGGGTTTGAGGTTGTACTCGTTGTTTGTTAACGGTAAGAGGGTGACTGTTGAAGAGAAAAACACGCGAGAGAGGAGAGTAGAGGAGGGTGGTACTTACCCAAAAAAAGGAGAGGAGGGTGGTCCTTACCCAAAAAAAGAAGAGGAGGGTGGTGTATTGAAGGAGCTGTCGCCGGATATGGAGACGTTTGTGAATCATTTGTACAAAGAAGGGTATTTTAGTAAAGGTAATTTCTTGCGTCCTAATCAAAAGAGGTTGGACTTTGGCTGTTTTGATGAGAATTATGGCCGGGATTTTATTAAGTTTGCTGCTGAGAAGTTTGGCGAGGATCATCAAGAAATTGCCAAGTAAGTATTTTTCTTTTTACCCATATTTGTTTGTTTATGAATTGATATAGTCTATTTGCATTTGTTATTAGGATGGCCAGGATTTTCGGTCGATTTGGTGTTTGATAAAATGAAGAGTAGGAGAGAAGGCATTGAGGTTTTTTAACATTATGCTGTTGGTTTACTAAAATGAATAGCTGATTAAAGTCGGTTAATTAAATTCATCTTAGTTCAGAGGAGATTTTTGCTTATGTACTTATCTATGCCCTGTATTGAAATTGTAGCGGATCGTTTTCTTACCTTTTGAACAACCACATGAAGTATTAGTCATGTCCATTTTCAAAGATATAATTCTAACGTTGAAACTGATGAAGTAATGTCAGCTCAAGTTTGTGAATTTACATTGACATTGAGATAACTTTTTAAATTTTACAAATAGTTATGGGGGATGGGAGGATGTGAACTAGTTATGTTTGAAATTTTCTTGTCTGAGGTTTTTAAAAAATATTATTTGTGTAAGTGTTTGGCCTTTTTTGCATTGGTGGACAAGTCTAGTGATTGCTACCTTTATTGAATATGAGACATGCAAGTGGTGCTATATTCAACAATTTTTAGTAGTTTCATTCATGGACTTGCTGTGGTGTTAAATTGAAGTAATCGGAAATTGTTAAAATAATGTCATTTCATATAAATGATGATAATAATATTCTGCAGCATTTATTTATCAGTAATGCAGTGTGATTCATGATGTCATGCTTATTTACCAATTTTATTTTCTTACAACTTTAGTTACTGCAGTGGGTTTGCCACTAGACCTGTGTGAATGATTAAATAGATTGTGCAATCATCTTACCTGATTAAGGTGATATTAAAATTTGGCACCTGTTCAACTATTTATAATATGCCTTTTTAAATATTTGTTCAACTTAGTATGTTTGCTCTAGTTCCGCTTGCTCCTTTGTTGGCAACGTGTGTCTGTCTTTGCACCCACTGTTTTATAATCCTATCTTGTGGAATTACAGATGGTTGTCGGGAAGCGACTTGAGAACGATAGCTCTCTTTGGTTGTCCTTCCACTACAAAGAAGGCTGTCTTTTCTGCTAAACAATTGCGCAGATTTTTTGAAATTCAAGAAGACACTGTAAGCCAATATGTCCATTGATCTTTTTTTCTTTCATAAAGCATATTTATCTTTGGACAAATATACTGTGAAATTTCCTTGCCTTTTGCATTTATGCTCATTTAAAATGCTTATCTTAGTGCAATTTAATTATGAATTTTCAGTGCTTTATGTATTGTGCTTGTTTCAGGTATGTCGCAAATGTGTGTTAAAAGAGTCATGCAAGTTTGTAAATCAAAGCATATGGAAAGGTCAACATAAGAATTTGAATTTGGTTGTAGTGATGAGGGTTATCACTAGGTATGCTCTGGAGTCAGTACCTCCGCAATTGGTAGTGCCTGATGAAGTAAAGGCTTCTGTCAGTCGATTGTTCAAGGAGGTTATCAACCTAAGTGAAACTACTCATAAAGCTACTTCCACTATATCTGTATAATCCAGGTAATTGGTGGCTAAATTGCTCTTCAAGTGCTCAGCTTTCATCCTATGTCTCACCAATTATTCAAACCAGATATCAGTATGACCAAAGATGTCTGAAAGGAGGGTGTAGATCATTACTATAGACCTGCAGGAGCCAATAAATGGACTTCTAGATAGAAAATGATGGCTGATGGTATAATTGTTTGTCCCAGTTGCTGCTTGGCTTGATGCTGGAAGTTCTAGTTTTATCTGAAAGGCAGCGTTTCATTTATTAAACTATTGATAGCTCTAGTCACAATACACAAACTCGATTATCCTCATGAAGGTAGCTTATAGTTTAGTTAATTCTAAAATCCTTGGAAATTTTTGCTATGTCCACACAAAATTATTTTCTTCTTTTTCTTATTATCGTTATAAATTTTGACATGTATGTCATAGACAAATACTGGTGAAATGAACACAATCGTGGATCATTTACTTTTATTGCAAGGTTTGTCAATATTGCATGATTCTTTCTTTGGCCTAAATGGTAGGTAAATAATCTGTTGACTAGTAGATTTATGTCGAGAATCAAAGATTGAAGTCTAAGGAAATTTTATGTCAGTCCTACTTTAGAAATTTGAATGTTAGATACGAAATGAGTGCCCATCTGATAAATTTAATTCTTAGCATATTAGCATCATGTATTCTTGTTAAATTCTGCTTGAGAAGCTTGTTTGCCACGAGGCCACTTGATATTGTTATTGATGATCACCTTAAATTGTTTGCCGGGTTTGCAAAGCTAAGCTTATGGCTTTGTACTGTCCCTATTAGGCCAACAAAATTGCTTGTTATTATTTAAACACTCAACAACTAAGGCACGAGGTTGAAGAAGTGCCAATTTCTTGGTAGTTTGTTACTCACATGCCCTTGCCCTCCAAATTTTCAGGTTATATTAACCATAATAAACAATCGTTTCCAAGTAAGAGTCGTATTAGGAAGTTTATGATGATTAACTGTTTGTGGTTGCTGATTAATCAAAGATTTCTGTCAAAAGAGTTGTTTTGTTTCCCATTTGGTGCCCATGCTTTATGTTCCAAAATTGCATCAAACTCTCTTTTCAAGTGAATCGCCCAATTTCTTTTACTTGGCAATCAAAATTAAGGACTAGCCTACAGGCTAGAAACTTCTGCAGTGGGGCAGTTAGAGCTGGCCCCTTAATGAACTTTCCAACATTTTGATTCAGCCAGAATTTTGAAAGTTGATTTCATATGAAGACCATTGAAAATGATCTTTCTTTGTTTTCTTGCCCTCAATACTTTTCTCATCACATGTAAAAACAACCAACAATTTTATTCCAATTCTTGAAAGTCATGATCAATAATTTGACCAGAAAACGAAATGCACGAACCCAGTACTCCATTTCCTGCAAACTGTGAAAAGATAACTTTCTTCTGGTAAATCCAGAAAAGAAGAAACAAAACAATATGAGTAAAATGCCATTGTGTAAGTTTCAACAATGAAAGTAGACATTAAAACCAAAGAAAGATGACTTGAAATGACCCCATCAACAGAATCAGAACTTGTTTCTTTTAGCAGAAGAATAAACAGGCATGAAAGTGGTGATAGGGTCGATTCCAATACATTGTTTTAAAAACCGGGACCTGGTCACGTGTCCGGTTCGAGTCAACATTAAACCCGCTATTATGTAATAACCCGTTTTAAACCGTTTAAAATTCGGATAAAATGTGTGAACCGCCGGTCCGGATAAACTGGTCGAAAGTTTCAAAATGGGAAAAAAATCCCTAACTCTACACAAGTCGCAAGGCCATTCCATTTTGATTTCACTTCTCACTTTCTCTGTTTCTCAAATTTCTCAGCTTCTTCTCTACGCAAATTCCTCTCTAAAATCTCACTCAAATCGCAATAAACTCCACTTCCTAAAGTCTGAAATTACAACCATTCACCAAATCGCAACTGAACTCTCTGAAATCGACGACGACGACGCCTTCCTCCCTCGCCGAAAATTGACGATGACAACTCCATTCCCTGCTGGAAATCAACGACGACGACGGCTGCTCCATTCCTCGCTAGAAATTGATGATGACGACAACAACTCCATTCCTGGACGACGACGACAACAACTTCGTTTCTTGTTGGAAATCAACGACGACAGTTCCATTCCTCGGTGATCCAGGTAATAAACATATCATTCACAGGTTCGTCTTCAATAATGATTTCGTTTTTAATGCTTAAATGTGATTCTTTTGTTTGCAAAAAGTTTACATTTCATTACTATGAAACAGAGTTCATTTGTATGAGGAGCGCAGTATTTCTATCGGGTAAACAACAATAGCTTGCAGATTAAATGCTTTCGGATTACTTCAGTGAATTTTTTAACAAAAATGGATTTCCTGATTGATTATTGTCAATATAAATTAACTTATTGTTCTTTCCGTAGTATTGCATAGTGCCATTACATGCCTGAGATGAATTTATATCTGTGCTTGAGATGTGGCACTGCTAGGAGTTGTATACCCATGAATTATCAAACTTTTGTCTGCCCTGTGTCATTGTTGTCTGTAGCTAATTTTCAGCTGGTCTTGTAACAGGTTATTTCTGATTGGTTTGAGTAAATTTGGAAAGGGTGATCGGAGGAGTATTTCAAGGAATGTAGTGGCACCAACTCAGGTATTAAATGTGATTTCGTTTTTAATGCTTAAATGTGATTTTTTTGTTTACAACAGTTTTTACTATTAGGTTGTGATTGTTATTGAATTTGAATTTTGAATTATCTTACCTAATAATTAAGTTGTTATTATCTTAATAAAAAATAGAAATCTTAAAATACAGAATAAACAGTAGGTTTTTTTCTGTGTTGACATTACCGATCCAATCAATGATCCAATCGATTGAATTGATTAACCTGTGACCCAGGCAACAAGGCGGATTGCCCTTTGATCCCGATTTTAAAACAGTATTCCAATATGGTGTTTGTGCCTTTGAAGAAACTTTTAGGTGAGAATAGGTCCCATATTATGTCCTACCTTCTTGAATGATATGTAACTGAAAGAATCCTATGCATATTCAATGGTCCTGTGATTGAACAAGACAGGAAAGGTTTATTTATGAGCTTATGTGGATGATTTTGGTCCACAAATATTACTTTAATACAGTCCATAAATGTGGCCGGCTGAATCAACTTTATGATAACCCCCTTTCTGCGTAAAATGCCTTATCAAAAAATTCCTATACATATCGTCAAAAGACAACATATCATCAATCTTTAAAAATTATAGATTTCATTTCCCCTATATATTATATCATGTCCTTCTCATTACATGCTGTATAATTTATTTTTTCTTCCAGATTATGTAAGCAGTTTACTTGTAGTGACAGTAAAGGTCACCAAATTTAATATAACATTACAATCATGTTGTCATCTTTCCCCTTACACGACATCAAATATTTTCTTGAACAAATTTCCTTAACTCATCAGCAGATATGAAAAATCGATTTTGCCCTATAAAATCATATTAACCCTATCCAGTTTATTGCGCACAAAAATCTACATAACATGTAACAGTGTTTCGATATTTTAGTATTATTTGATATTAAAATCAACAAAAACTGGCTAGACAATTGGATCGGAAACCTCGACTTGAACAGGCCAGCTGGCGGCGCCGGCGCGCAGATGTAGGTGGGCAGCTGTTGTTTCTTGTTTAGTATTTGTTTTTGTATAACTTTTGCCGGGTTTTTTGTAATGTTAAAGTGAGGTGAGATTGAGTGTTAAATCATAAATGTATTTGTATTATAAATATTTATGTGGTTCCACTCAGGAGAAAAAATTTATATGGGACAGTCCCGTCATCCCATTTTGCTCATCTGCTGAAGCTCTCCAATAAGCAATAAGGTAATTAAATGTGTTATCTTATTTTAGTTAAAAAAAAAAAAAAATTCATCCACTTATAAAAATGATATAAATAACTATCTATCACCGTACATTGATAATTACATTAATAATTATTACAATAATATGTTGTTTTGAAAATAAACAATAGGTATCATTACAGTAGTAAAATGGAATGATAAAATTGTCACGTGTAAGTATTTTTATCAATCACACAATGAGTTAACTGCTTTTTCTCACCCAAATAATGGTTTAATAACTGATTTTTTTCATTCTCAAACTTTTAAAATATCACTTTATTATCCAAATTTATATTTCGACGATGAATAGAGAGCAAATTCGGTCTAGATTGTTAAGGCTTTTGATGATTAGGATTGATCAGAATTTGACTTAGGAGAGGCGACTGTGTAAACCCTAATTGCTTGATTACTAAGGATTGGCAAGGTTGGCGAGAGTAGGGTTTGAGAGGTTTAAGTGAGTGATGATCGGAAAGAGTTGGGGTGTTGTAGGGTCGTAATGATGCCAAAATTGGAAATGAAATATAAATTTGGGATAATAAAATGATATTTTAAAAGTTTGTGGGCGTGAAAATGTCATTGAGCCATTATTTGGGTGGGAAAAAGTTGTTTTCTCTCACATAGGTCATAAAGAAGGAAGGTTTAATATAGCAGTTCGGGTTGGGTTTTTGAAAATAGAACGAATTGACTTCGATCCCAATTTCGGGTTGATCTGTCACAAATTTTTGGCCTGTTTGATAGATTATTTGAAAAATGTTATTCTAAAATATTTTTTTAATATTTAGATAATTTTTAATCCTCTACTTTTGTTAATTTAGCTAAACACTCCCTCAATAAAAGTTTAAAAATTAACTAAAGCACCCTATCACCCAAGAGGGTAGCCAACCATCAACCACCGCTGTTGGATGGCAGCCGACAATCGTCAAAACAACGCACGATCGACTATTTCTACTAGATCTATCGTAGATCTGGCCATCGTTAATGACCAAATTATAGCCGTTAACAGCTAGATTTGGCTAGAGTTTAGCCAATCATACATCATTCTAGCCACGATAGCCAACGACGACAATGATGGTGGCCATTGGCCAACAGTGGTTATAATAGGATAATTGAAAACAAATTTCCCCTCTTTTTTATTTTAAAAAAATTATTAGATTTGGATTAGTTTTTAGAATAATTTTTTATTTTTAGAAAAAAAATATTATTAGATTCGGATTAATTTTTAGAACAATGATTCAAACCCATATTCTATTTTTTTAAGTTTAAAAATATATTAAAGAAAGTGAAAGAAGGATGAGCTTTAAATTATAACACAATTGTGTCATGATTTATTATTATTCTAATAATAATACAAATTTAATGGTAATTAATTGTCTTGTTTTGTCTTTCCGCACGTAACCTTCTTTCCTTCTTCGTCTCTCTCTACTTTCTGCTCAAATTGCAGTACTCCCCTCGCCACTCTCCCTTCAATAATTTTCCACGCTCTTCTCCACACTTCCCTCTTTAATTTCTCCCCCTTCTCCATGTTAACTCCCTTTCTTTTCCCCTCCCTTTTTCTTTCTCTCCATTTCCTCCCTCCCTTTTCCCAGAATGCCCCACTCTTTCCTTTCTAATTCCCCCACCACTCCTTCCCCTACCTCCTCCCCCTCCCAAAACGACACCGTTCCCTCCACCTCCTCCGCGACCTCCGATATGTGGAACTGCCTTTGGATCCCGATCCTCATCTCTCTTTCTAAAGAACTTTCTTCTGCTAAAGCTGAGTCAACCATTATTCTACCGAGTCAGCAACACCCAACTGACGACTCTGTGACTACTTTGACTGTTCCCGTCCCTCGCTGTCCCCGGCCTGACCCCAAGCTAAATTATCGGCCGGTCATCGGGATTCTAAGTCATCCTGGTGACGGCGCTTCCGGTAGGTTGAATAATGCAACGAACGCGTCGTATATTGCGGCCTCGTATGTGAAGTTCGTTGAATCGGCTGGCGCTCGTGTTATTCCTCTAATTTATAACGAACCTGAAGAAATTTTATTTGAGGTGAATGATTTAGTGGTTTATTGACTAAATCCAATTTTTTTGTTGCCGTTGTTGTTAGGGTAAAGTTTGTTTTGATGCTTGTTGCAGAAGCTGAAGTTGGTGAATGGCGTGTTGTATACTGGAGGTTGGGCCAAAACCGGTTATTACTACGAGATTGTTGAAAGAATTTTCAAGGTAAATAAGCACATGAAAGTGCTTGCGGAAAAGCACTTACTGAATGTTTTTTCAAAAGCTTTTTTTTTCTTTACCCCTTAAAAATCGCAATTTGAAGAAGTGTTCTGGCAAAAATGCTTTTTCTTTAAGTACAAAATAATTTACTCCTAAATACTTTCGTAAAAATACTCACTGAATGCTTCTCCGAAAATTACTTTAATCGTTTTTTTTTTTTTTTTAATTTATAGACTGCTAATTTTTTATCAAATTTTTTTTTTTGCAAAAATATAAGTTCTTTTTAATCATAAAACCAATGGTCTTTCGAATATACAAATAATTCATTTTTTCAAAAAGCACTTTAGATGCCTATTTTTCTGTGCTCAAGAAAACGGTTTCTTAAGAAGTTGCTTTTTTATCCGGGAAAAAAACCTTTTTTTTTTAATTTTTAATTTTTATTATCCTGATTAGGCTCTAGGAGTAAAAAAAAAAAAAAAACGAGTTTGATTTGGTAAAAGGGCTTTCTAATGATTTCAAAGCACCGTGAAGTGATTTACTGAAGCTTACCTTTCTACATTTGAGTTAGGCCGTGTTAGTATAGTATGGTATAGTATAATAGAGATTGATTTATCTAAATATTGAGTTTCTTACTGTAAAATTTTTCATTAATTATAAGCTTTTCTCTTCTGTTTCTGGCAGAAAATTTTAGAGAAGAATGATGCGGGAGATCCTTTTCCATTATATGCCATTTGCTTAGGCTTTGAACTTTTAACAATGATCATTAGCAAGGTAAATTTTTTTTGTTTTTTTTATTTGTCAGACCACATCATTCTTGTGCTTAGGTGAAAAATGATTTAAACTATAGGATTCCTTGGCATATTTTAGTGAAGTTTTTTTTTTCTTTTTTTTTTTTTTTTCCCTGAATACAGCTTTTGTTTTTTTTCCCTTGATAACAGAACACAAACATTCTTGAATCATTCAATGCAGCAGATCAGGCATCGACTCTCCAGTTCATGAGAAACACTAATATTGATGGAACTGTGTTTCAAAGGTAAATGATTTTCATTATTTTAAAAGGACTTTACTGTGAATACACGATGATCCTAATATCCTATTACTCTTATTATGGTGAACACTTCTAAGCATGCTTATACTCATATGCTTTTACAGATTTCCACCAGATTTGCTTAAAAAGTTGAGCACAGATTGTCTTGTCATGCAAAACCACCATGTGAGTCACTTGTGCTTCTTCTATTGCTTAACATGTTGTGCATTTCTCTATCCAAATTCAATTAATTGAAAGGATCTTTTGGGGTTGTATAAAAGGTATTGGGATTTAACATTGCTCACACCTGGGGTAGGGACGTGTTTGGTTTAAAATTATAGGTTTGATAAAAATAATAAGTGTAGTGTGAGAAAAGAAAAGAAATTCTGTACCTCCTTTTTGATATATGTATAATACAATTTTCATTGTTCAAAAGAAAGTGGAGTTGCTTTTTTTTTTTCTGGGCATTGTAATATAGAACTAGAATGATTTTTGAAGTATAAAATTCATTTTATATATTCTTATATCTTTATATTCTTTTTACCCTGAAATACCCCAGAGCTGCTTCACGAACTCAAGTTTGAAAACTGACCTCTGTCTCCTCTTTCACATCCCCAGTTTGTTTGTTTATTATCGGAAAGCAGTCAAAGGATATTCTGGCCCTTGAAACAATACAAAAATAAGCTAAGCCTGGGGAAGAAAATAATATCAGTGTCTCTTATTAATAATCTTTGCTTGATTAGGCAGACTTACTTCCAAATTTTGCTATGTAGTTTTCCTCTTTGATTCAAAGGCCTGAAATTAGTTCATTTTTATGTACTTTATTCAATTTATTTCTTAAGATGCTGGTCTTAGAGTTTCAGAGATGGACTCTCCAATATTTTTCAAGTGATGTTATCATTTCAAATTTTGCCATATAATTTTTCTTTTTATTTAATCATACATGTGAGACTAATCTTTCAATGCTATATCAGTTGGGATCTAAAAATTAGGATATATAGTATTATTCATATGTTTTATTGCTGCATGGTGTTTGAATTATTTTTAGGTTAATTGAAGTTTATGTGTTCTTCTTTTCAACAGTATGGCATTTCACCTGAGAGAATGCAAGAGAACTTGGATCTATCTGGGTTTTTTAAAACTTTGACAACAAGTGCGGATGGAGATGATAAGGTAAGGTTCATAATCAAATTTTTATTTTTATATTGATATGTGGGCTCAGGAAATAATTACGACATGCTTTAACTCAATATGAATAGTCTACTGGAAGAATTCTAATTATGGTATTCATAATTTCAGGTCTATGTCTCTACAGTACAAGCTTATAACTATCCTGTGACTGCTTTCCAATGGCATCCAGAGGTATTTACCTCAACATGCTTCACATTGTTCCATGTGTGCCCCATCACATATAGTTTATTATTTTGACTATTGGATGTATGGAAATATTCTTTTTGACATTTTACTTTTTATCTATATTAAATATATTTAGCTTAAGAGAAAAAAAATTCTGCAAATCAAATTCTGATCAGTATCAATGTTGTTGAAGGTCTAACTTATTTGAGTTTGTTTTAAGAAATAAATGCTGTCAAATTATTCAAGGCAACTATACTAGATCGTATGTCTGGGTTTTATGAAGGGTGAAATGCATGGTCACTTAATGTGTGGTTCAGACTGAGCTTCATGCTGTCTTGATTGTCTGATATGATGTTATTTTATAGCTAGCTTCACTAATCTGTAATTTATGTTAAGAAAAATTCAATATTCCATATTGATGTGCCTTTTTTTGGCTTAACTAGATTGCAAATTATTTTCAGCTCTGTTCCTGTGTGCTTATGTGTCCACATTTATGTTTGTGTTAAATTTTTTTCTTCCTCAATCTGTTTGCTGTTATTGAGTAGAATATTACTAGATCTCTTGGTAATGCAACTGATTTCAATTAAGGTGAAAAGACTAATCAATTGCTCTGCAGAAAAATGCTTTTGAGTGGGGGTTATCGGGAATTCCCCACTCGGAGGATGCCATTCAGGTGACTCAACATGTTGCAAACTTTTTTATCAGGTTAGTTCTTGATAACCATGAAAGTCTCAATGGCTTATATTGTAAAAGTTAAATTTATGCTCACTGCCCAAGCAATAAAGTTAATAGTATTCAACAGGCAATTTCTTGCATCTCTTTTGTATTTTCTAAACAAGGCTATGTAACTGTTCTTTGGATGTTCTTTACAAATAGTGATGCTTCAAATGCCGTGACCTAGTGTTTAGTTGTCAAAAAAAGAGACTAGGTTAGGACTTTGCATTTGTGCATAACTATAATGATTAAAGGTGCTGAGGCTGATATCAACTGTATGTCTGTTGTGCAGTGAGGCTAGGAAGTCGATGAACAGACCGCCTGCTCGAAAAGTGCTTGACAACCTTATCTACAATTACAGTCCCACCTACTGTGGAAAGGCTGGGTAAGTGTTACTGTCCTTGAATCCCAAGTGGTATGTTAAGGCTCATTTGGTATATTGTTTTTAGAAAATGGACTTGTAGAATAAAACTGGAAAATGAATTTTGTTTTTGAGGGTTTAAAAATGCCTTTGGTATCACTTCTTTGAAACTATATAATGAAAACGCATTTGGTGCTGATTACTTGTACAAACTAATAAAAAGTATGAGAACAATACGAAAGTTAAAAAATGGTTGTTAAATCAAACATTTAATATTTTGATGATGATACTGAAACCCATCTAACTTTACATATAAATTTATTGATTTTATTGTTGTATGATGTCTTGACTGCAGGAAGGGATATGATGAAGTTTACATTTTCCCATGATTTCAATCCTGAATTTTCTGTAAAGGTTACAATTGTAACAGACTTGAAAAATGTAATATTGTTGTAGACTGTAAGGGACTGTTTTAAAGACCATTTGTCTGTTCCTTCCGGGATTGGTTTCAAATATGTTGCTACTTAGTTTTATTCCACCACATCAAGTAGAACATACTACCTATTATCAACATCAATTATACAGGAAAATTTCGTAAATAATTTTATTGTAACACAATGACCTATACGAAGGGCACCATCTTAAATAAATGTTTAACTGTTGCAACAGCTCCGCAGCTGGTTTTAAACTGCCGGCACATTTTTGTCCTGAGCTTCTTATGGAAGATTTTGTTTCTAAATGTCTTACTAGACCTGCACTTAGATGACTTGAAATTCCAGTCGTCTCTATTTCTAGTTTTAGCTTTTGTGCTAAACCTCACAAAAAAGGAAACAAATGGGAGTTTGCTGCTCAGAGTGAGCTGAAATGTGGGCGTCTCAAGGGTGGCATTTTTCCCTTGGTGATTACGAAGACAGCATTCATGAGAGCTTTCAGAGTATCAAGAATCTTCATCCAATGTAACACAGTTATTATTTCAAACAAGGTGTGTATAATTTTATGATATCAAGATGGTTGAAACCTGAAATTCATAAGAGAAAGAACAATGGGGGCAAAGGAGTTTGCTCTAATATATTATGCAATATGATGCTGGGCATCAATTGACTGACGTATAGAACGATTTCATTAGATCAACACAATAAGTATCTTGCTGATACATTATTTCAAAAGAAAAATAAAATCAAGTACAGCATATTATCAACATGAATAAAACTATGTGCACTAACCAATGTGTACTAATCCAAGTACTAACATTGGAAATTTGAAATTCCCTTCAAATTTTTTTTTTTTTTCAAATTTCTAATGTTAGTATTTGGATTAGTACACATTGGTTAGTGTACATAGTATTACTCTCCTTCAAGTTGTTTATGAGACAGGTATAGGACTGCAAGAAACGTCATTCTTTTCAACTGCCATGGAATTTTCCCATGAAGTCTGTTTGAAAAGAGGTCTAAGGATTCTAGATCTGCGAAATTTCCCAATGACAAAGGGATGTTGCCAGTTAGGAAGTTTTGAGAAACGTTGAGCAGTCGAAGTGATCGAATCTTTCCAATTAAATCAGGAATTCCCCCACGAAAGCTATTGTTTGAAAAATCAATGGTACTGAAAATAGTGAGGAATTTCACCAGTTTAACTTCATTCTTTTTTACAAGCAATGTCAATGAATCTTCATAATATGATTCACCCATATACTGCAGATTCCTTTAAGCCTCACCACTAATATCCATCACAGATTTCATGTTCTCAAAATAGAATAGGGTTTGGGATATGATCTGTTTATATGAGGAACAGAGACCTCCAAGAATAAGCGATAGAGAGATTAATTGACAAAATTCTTCATTGATAACCACGATCTAGATTTAGACTATTATACATCTTACACTTTGACTCCAAATGACTCCCAAAATACTCTAATTGTCTAATTCAAATCTAATAAATTATTCTATCATAATCATAAAAGGATAATAAGATAATCATAATTCTATCCTAATAACATAATTATAAAAGACTTAACATAATTATCCCTAGAATAATCCTAACAAAATACCTTGCTAGCAGCAAACCACTGAAATTGTTGTTCAAGAGATCAAAGATTCACAACTTAGAGAAAGAATTTTTCGCCATTGGATCATCGACTAGACCATGAAATTTATTGGAGCGTGGAACAAGAACTTGTAATTCCGGAAGAGTTCTCAACCACTGCAAAAATGTATCATTTATGTTGTTGTTTTCGAAAACAGAATTTCCAACATTGTACAATTGATCAAAGATGGTGGAACTGTCCCTTCAAATCTATTGCCATTGAAGTTAAGGGTCCTTAAATTGTTACCCTTTGCAAATGTTTGAGGAATGGTGCCATGAAACCTATTCTTTCGTAGAACCATCACATGCAAACTATTGCTAAAGTTTCCCATGCATTTTAGAATGGTGCCACTCAAGCAATTATTAGAAAGGTCAATGTTAGAGTCATGAAAATGACTCTATTAAAGTGATTTAATACACTTTGTTATGATTTAATTGACTATATATCGAGACAATTTATGAATTTATTGATGAAAAATAGCATTTTAATGTTTTCTTACGAATTTTTCATGTTTGAAATGATTTTAGAAATGGTGTGAGTTGGTATTAGCTAGGTTGTGGTTGATGGATTATGATTGATTTTGTCTCATTTATGTTTATCAAGGGGTAAAATGTCATATTTCCAAGGAGTTGATTTTGTCACCTTTTAAATGTGCAAGGACTAAAAAAATTATTAGTCGTGAAAATGTAGCCAGCCGCCTCCCATCAAACCCTAGCCACCATCCACCATTTTTTGGCGACTCTTCATCTTTCAAAACTTCGATTGGCCATCACCTCCATCATCTCCTTGAAGATCTTCTGCTGCCATTCATCATCATTTTCACTGCCATGTCTCTTGGTATTCCGACGTCGATTTAGCTTCCCCAAGTGGCAGTCATCCTTCCCTTAGCGTTCCCGAGCATTTCAGCCGCCGTTCAGCAACATCCGTTGTAACGCCCAACATGGAGATACATGATTTAAATTATGTTTTATAGCCCTTGGTTAATTTTTGTTAGAATTATGTTAAGAGAATATGAAGAAATGCCTTAAAACTTGCATTAAGGGTAAAATGGTATTTTCAATCAAAATTAGTTGAAAAAGTGGGGAGTGAAAAGAGAGAGAATTTCATAGAGAATACAAAAAAAATAAGGGCATTATGGTAATTGACTAAGGGACAAGGATGAAATTTCAAAAAAAGCGTAAGGGCAAAATGGGAAAGCATGTTTATAAAATAAGATGATAAGGGTTTGTAACCCTTATTTCCTTCATTCCACCGCCACTCTCCTCCTTCATTTTCTCTCAAATTTTCATTCACTTCTCCAAGGAATTTGAGGGCTTTTGAGTAGATTTTCATAGGGTTTTGATTCTAGGCATCAAAAGGTAAGAATTCATGCTTTTTATCTATGATTTATTTGTGTAAAAGTTAAGTTCTTATGAAGTTTATGCTTAGGGTTAAGAGAAGATTTGAATCCAACAAGAGTAGAGAGCTTAGGAGAGACAACTCAAACATAAGGTAAGTAAATTCCACTCAAATCCAACTCAAGGTAAGTAAATTCCACTCAAATCCAACTCAAGTTAAAGTTTAAGAAAATCAAGTGAGTAGAGATTTCCTTTAACTATGTATATGTTATGATTATTGAGAAATTGAGATGAGATGGATGATTATTTATGCTTGTTGTTGGATATATTTGAATATGAGGAGTGTATGTGATGGTTTGATGATGGGTTGAAATTGGAAGAATTGGAGAAATCTTTTGGGAGTGTTTGTGCCGTGTAGGTATGGTGATGATATAAGAAAGTTTTTCTCTCAATTTGGGTGGCTTAAGAAACCAATAGAATGATAATTAAATTAGGGTTTGTTCATGCACAAGTATTGTTTGATGAAATGCCTAAGAGAAGTATGAATGGAGTAGAAACGTTAATTTTATGTAACATTGCATATGTGCATTTCAGAAGTGCATTTAAGTAAGAAATTTTAAGCATGAGTCATCCATATGCATATAATTGTGTATGTCTAGAAACTTAAGAAAGAATGAAGAATAAAGAATAAAGAATAAGGAATAAAGAAAGAAAGAATAAAATACTCTAAGAATAAAGAGAATGGAAGAATAAGCATTAAAGAATTAAAGAGTGTTAAAGAAGAGAAAAGAATAGGTTGTTGTGATGGGGAACCGTGAGTGTTAAGAAGAAATTCCCACATACACGCCACCTTAATTAAGTGGCATAAGAAGAAGAAGAATTGTACGACCCGTAAAAGTGTATGTGGATGAGGGTTGTACCAAGAAGAATTTCCTACATGCATGCCACCTTAATTGAGTGGCCTAAGAAGAAAGAAGAAAGAAGAATTTGTACGGTCTGTAGAGTGCATGTAGATGAGGACTGTACTCACTCACACGACCAAGGTTCCAAATCCATACATCAACCCAGTCCGATCGGCAAAGAATAAGAAAAGAAAGAATGAGAAAAGAAAGAATAAGAATAAGAAAGAATAAGAAAAGAAAGAATAAGAATAAGAAAGAATGAGAAGGCTTGAACAAGCAAAGAAAAGAAAAGAAATAGAACAAGAAAATAGAAATAAGAAAGAAAAAGCATTTTATGCATTATTGCATATGCATTTTATTCATGCATATTGCCATGAATTTCATCATGGTTAGGAAGAATAGAAAGAATAAGAAAGAAAGAATAGAGAGAAGTAGAAAGAAAGAAAAGAACAGTGAGAGTTAGAAACAGAGAAAGAAACAGAGAAGGAATTAAGTAAGGAAAGAACCTAAGAAGGAGAAGAGTTAATGGATTTACTTACTGAGCATTTTTATGCTCACCCTGTTGTTTTTTCCATATTTTTGCAAGAAATAGGTGAGCAGCAGTCGAAAGGACGTCGACAAGCGAGGAGGATTGGCATTATTGTTCACTGTCGCTAAGTTTTTGTACTCGTTATTTTGATATATGTAAAGAATTATGTTTTGTAAGTGAAGGAAAATTTGGGCCCAACTATTTTCATCTACTAATTATGTATGTTGTTATTGTATATGTTCTAAAGTATACTAGTAGAAAGTAGTTATTACATCCGTCATGAGTCCATTTGCGCCGCTGTGTCTTTGCTCATTCCAGCCAAGGTTCTTCCACTTCCCGGTGTCGATTTGTCTCCCCAACTATCGGTCATCTCTCCTACAGCTCCCAGCCACCTTGCTATCACAGTTTTAGCCACAGCCGACATGTTTTCACTGAGATTCGCCGTCACCGACGATGATCGTTCACCTTTTCATGTCCTTTGGTCTTCCTCAGCCACCAATCTCTCATTCGAATTGCCGGCGATGTGTTTCCCACATTTGGCAGTGACCGGTTAGACCCTTCAGCCATTATCAGCTCACCATGAGCGGTTGATCTCCGGTTGCCGTTAGGCAGAGGCGAGACTAGGATTCAAGCTATAGTTTTCTTCGCTTAAACTTTTGACTAATTGGATTATTAATTACACATTGAAGATATGATTTGATTGTTGTGTATTGTGATTTGAGGTTTGCTTTGTTCCAATATGATTACAATATGATGCATGATTTAAATTATGAAATGCTTTGTTGGATTGTGTTCGTTGTAAAATCAAACTGATTGCATCTTGAATGTTGGGCTTGAAAGTTCTGAATGATGGATTATAGTTTCCAATTGTTTCTATACTGATTACAATCTTGCTATATATTGTTATTCAGTAATGTTTCTACTATATATGATTTCATTCAAGTGTGATAAATTTGTGATTGTATTACAAGGATTATGGATTGTGTTTATTCTCTCTGTACCAATTAGTGGTTTTAATTGATTGAGTCTCTTTGTTAATTGAAGATAGTCTTTAACCAATCAACATGTAACTAAGATAACAGGGAGACATGATAGATTATACTTGGTTGTGGAAAGACTTTTTATGTGATTTGTCTAGCCTTGTAGGTTTAGGAAATCTAAGAGTGAGAAGAAGAATTGCGTGCTAATTCTGAGTTGAGCCGAAGCCTTAGGGCAACACCTTTAACATTGTGTTTCAGTTAGTAATTAGATTTCCTGAAATTATTTTCTTAGGATACTAGTTGATTAAAACTTGTCATTTTTACTTTCGTTTACCCAATCATACCTTAGGTTGAGAGTCTTTGCTCTCTATGGATTCGACCCTAATTACTGCTACTTACATGACAACCGGTTCAACAAGGACTTCATTGTCCCTCATTTTACATATTAAATGAGGTATTTCTCCATTTAGATTATTGTTTGAGATAAAAAATACTTTTATATTAGGTGGTGGAACTGGAGCTGGTCCTTCAAACAAGTTGGAACAAAAGTCAAGATATTGAAGGTTCTTCCATTGAAGTCATTTAATGCCTGTCAACAAGTTTATGAAAAATTAAACTCTAAATCCTATTTGTTAGTCTGATCCTTTGTTTTCCAAAGTTCCAAAGTTTGTACAAGTACAGAATTAAACCAAAATATGCGTAAGTCTTATAATAAATTTTTGAAAATAGATTGTAAATCAACCTAGATCATAAGAACAAAGAAAATCAAAAGATAGCCAATAGAATTCTTAACATAAAACTAACGATATTGCAAATAAGAGAGATTTCCGAGAAATATATAAACCTAAGTTCCTTCAAATTTTTAAACAATGGAGTGCAAAAGATTTAATGGATAAATTAATCAAGCAAAGAAGGATTATTTATCTTACCAACCCCCTTCAAAGATTCAGTTCAAATGATTTGGTTAGGAGATTATACAACGGAAAACATACATTTGAGATTAATAACATAGAAATAAAATCACACCACAAAAAGAGACACTACATTTACGTGGTTCAAAATAACCTGGCTACATTCACAGATGAGAGAAATCCACTATAGTTTCATAAATACGATATACAAGAGTACACGACACTATCATAAATCTGGTATATAATTAACAGACCAGTACCTAAAGTGAAAACAATCCTAATTTTTAAGACACTCTACCCATGGTGTCTTATAGCCCTTACATAAAATATCTTATGTTCTAACATTCTCTCATAACCTTCAATTGGTTCTCACCCCTATATTTATACACAATATATTTCAATTCTTAATAGGATTCTCATAATTCTATTTCTATTTACAATTGTATTCTTTATTAAAAGGTTTTTCTATGCGATTTATAAAATCATAGTTGAATGAACTTGGTTAAAGACATACAATTTAACATGAAAATAAATAGGAAAACGAACCACAATATCCCAATAGATTCTGGAGCTTTCAAAGTTCTACGGGAAGCTAGTTAGAAGGATGTTCATGGTCCCAAAGTCAGCTAGTTGGAAGGATCTAGTAAGCGACCCAAGAACTTCGAGCTCTGATACCAATTGTCATGACCCTATTTATTTCACCATTAGATAACTCAAGCTTGCTAGTTTTGAGAATAAGAGAGAACACTCACTCAAACTCATAAGATTATGCTAGAGAAAAGAGTATTCTTTATTACTTAAGCTTATAATTCTTGGATGGTTTGGCCAAATGAGGCCTCCCCCTATTTAGAACAATCTTAACTTATTATGAACGGTCTAGATTTACACAATGTTCCACATTCAATGGTGGAGATTTAAGACCTAAAATCTTCTACCAACTACCAATAATTCAAGAGATACCTGCAAATGTGTAGAGAACTCAAGAGAGTTCTAGAATTTTGTGAAGGGGGCTAGAACTTTTCTAGCTTGAGATTTCTACCAAGTATTTGATGAAATGCTTGTGAGGCGTCACACATGGCAAATAATTGAAAAAACTAATGATTGTGTTATGCCTAAAATATATGTTGACGTCACCTCCACCAATTAGCTCTTAGTAGGCATCTCCGCCAACCTCCAATTCAGAATGATATTTTGTGTAGCCATCTGCCAAAATTTCATTTAATTTAAGGATATGAATGAAAGCTTCCAACGAATCAAAAGGAAGGCAGATCTTCACCAAATCAAGACAACTTATAAAAACACTTATTAACTTAAGCTGAAAAGAGTATAAATAGGCAACTCCACTCCTCACAACGGGATCGATTATCAAATTCACATATTTGTTTTACAGAAAAAATAGCAAATATACACTACTAAAAGAGATCGACTTATCATTATCCTAGAATACTTCAAGTACTTGTAACCATTGAGAGATCGTTCTCTTTGTAATCTTCATTAGTGATCATAAAAGAAATCATAATACAAACATAGTGGATGTAGGACTTGCTCATAGCATCCGAACCATTCTAAAACTCTCACTTGTCAGCTTGTTATTTACGTACTAAGTAACAAGCATCATCACTGCATCATAAACACATCTCACAATCACCTCACATGTAACCTCTTAGCACTTTATATGTGCGTAGTCGTTAGTGTGAAAATTACGTATTAATAGACTGGAAGAACAGCAACAACACTCATCACTAGTTTCATTGTTGCTAGTTAATTTCAAAGTCTTTTATTACTATAAAACATGCCAATGACCCGTGAGACACGGTTTGAAATTTCTCAATTCTTGTGCGAAACTGACAGTCAATTTGGAAAAAGTGGCTTTGAGAACTATTTGCAGGTAATTTCCTGGGATAGTGCTCTCCCCCCAGACTTGAAAGATATTTCACCATTAGATGTCCACAGTGGACTTCTAAGTCAATAAAAGGATAAATGGATCTAAATTTTATATTTACACTCGTTAAACTATTGATATTTGACTCTTAATTTGAGTAAATAAAGTCTGGGAGAAAATGAACATAATACAATGGTTTCATTTTCATATGCAAAATCAGCTCATCAACGAGCTTGACTTAAAAAAGTTTCGCCAATAAATTAATTAAAACTTAAAAGACAGTGCAGACCTCGTAAGAAATGACGAAAAAGTCCTCATCATTCTTGATAATTCCTGGGAAATATTAGGCTTAGAAGAAATTGGGAAGTTAGCTCTCCTGGGTTGAATCACGGTTCTTAAGGCACTGGACATTTCAAGAGAATGCAGTGGCATGGTAACTGCAATTTTGACAGTTTCAAATGTATTAAGACCGAAAAATTTAGACTACTTTGGAATTCTATATGTTGATGATATTGAAGAATTCCCAATCTTGTTTTTTTTGGGTTTCCGAATGGACATTGTTTTTCTTTTTTTGAATTAGTCCTGGTTAAAACTAGGGGTTAAAACATGGTTTATCAGCAAACTGTGATTGTTCCAAGATGTGCTGACTAAATTAGACCATACAATTACAGAACTTTCTGTCAATAAGGGCAAAAGGGTTTTGTATAATTTGAAGAGATCCGGACAATTGAATTTAAATTCATAAGAGAAAGAACACTGAGGCAGAAGGAGAAGACAGTTTGCTATTGCTAAAGTCGGTTACATTATGTATGGCTGATACATGATACCAAAAAGAGAAAACTACTTTCAAACACTAATTTCTTCTTCTTTTCTGTTTGTTCTTAATCCTTCTCACCGTTTTGTGGGAATTCCCTTCAACTGCGTTTACAAGCCATTGAGGCTTTCTTGTTGTGAACACAAGACATCCAATAATCAATCCAAACGCCGTCCCACATCCATAACCCATCAACACAACTTTCCAACCAAAATCTTTTTCAGAGTCTGTATCACCTGATCTCGGGGATGGCTGGGAAGGCTCACCGCTGCTGCATTTCTTCTTTAATGGAACTCCACATAATCCCCAGTTTCCTTCGTACGAATCACTTGAGAATGTACCGAATTGGTTCCCTTCAGGAATACGTCCCATAAGGTGGTTTTGTGACAGGTTCAGCAAAGAGAGAAATGTCAAATCAGTTAACTGCCATGGAATTCTCCCGCCAAGTTTGTTTGAAGAAAGGTCTAAGACTTCGACTCCTTTCAAATTGCCCAACGATGGAGGAATCTGACCTGTAAGATTGTTTTGAGAAAGGTTGAGGTGATTAAGTGCTCGAAGCTTTCCAATTACTTCTGGAATCTTACCATTAAAGCTATTATTCGAGAAATCAATGGTATAGAAAATAGTAAGAATTTTCACTAGTTTAACCTCGAGCTTTTTCACTACAAGCGTCACTGAATCATCATAATACCTGTCTCCCATATACTGAGGCTTCTTTTTAACTTCAACACTCATCATGGATTTCATATTCTCAAAGTAACTCACAGGTAATGAACCACTAAAATTGTTGTTCGAGATATCAAAAATTCTCAACTTAAAGAAAGAAGTACTATTGGCTTTAGGATCCGTTACAAGACCATAAAATTTATTAGAACGAAGAACAAGAACCTGTAATGCCGGAAGGCTTCCCAACCATTTTGGGAAGGACCCGTTTATCTTGTTATTTCCCAGATCTAGGACTTCCAACTTTGTACAATTAAGCAAAGATGTTGGGATTGGCCCTATCAATTCATTGCCATTGAAGTTGAGAGTCCTCAAGTCATTGCCCTTTGTAAATACTCCAGGAATGTTGCCACGAAACTTATTCTCCTGCAGATCCAACACGCGCAAACTGTTGCTGAAGTGTCCCAAGCATTCTGGAATGGTACCCGTCAAGCTATTGTTGGAAAGATCAAGAACTTCAAGGGTACTCATATTGCTTATTAAATGAGGTATTTCTCCTGTCAGATTATTGTTTGATACTAAAAAGACTTTCATGTCAGGTGGCGGAACTGGAATTGGTCCTTCGAACAAGTTGGAACGAAGGTCAAGATATTGAAGATTCTTCCATGGAAGTTGTTTGACGCCTGTTACAAGTTGTAGGAAACATATATGTAAAATTGAATCAGATCTATAAACTCTACTAATTGTTTGAAAATATTTTTGGATCACGAATCAAAGGCACACTTAAGTTTCTTACAATTTTCCAAAATAGATTTAAACATGGTAGTTGTAAGATCAGTTAAGTTGTCAACAATATGAACAATGGTGGCATCAACTCAGCCACACCGTTCTGAAGATAATAGAACCCAGGAGCTTCCTTTTGTCTCAGCCTATGTTTTCTGAAATTCTTGAGTCAGTTGACTATTATAAGTAATTTTTTTCACACACCGATTCTCCCATAATCTATTTTTATATTCGCACTCAAAAGTAACACGAGTTGTTTTTTCACAATAGAAATCTGCTTGCGATTAGTAAAAGAGTACCACTAGCCTTACAAAGAGGCATACAAAGAAACAATCCATACCTTTCAAATTTATGATTGTCTCTCTCTCTCTCTCTCTTTTTCCATTCTTTTAAGGACAGTAATTGTCTCTTTGTATGCCTGGGCTAGTGCTACTCTTAGTAAAATACCAAAATGACTTCCAAATAATTTGTTATTTTAAAAAAATAAAATTGCTGTCAAAATGTCATTGCCAGGCAACTGTTATCATTGGCAACAGCCACCCAGCCATCGAAAACCGGCCACCAATATTGGAGAATATCACAGATAGGCATCCAACAGTATTCTAAAAATAATTCTTAATAAAATTGTTAGTAAATTACCCAAAAAAAAAAACAGAGTAAACTACAGTTTATCAGGCAACCTATAACTTTGGGTTATAACTGATTAATTTCGAAGCACAACTATAAGTGTGATAATGGTAAAAGCTACATAATTCCAAATGCATCATGATTCCTAAATAAATAAATAAAATTCTCAGTATAGAACTTACATAGATAAGAAAAAAGGTCAAGATATTGAAATATGAGTGATTAATTTCCAAAAGACATCAATATTACAATTTCAAGTGTAATTAAAATGATAAAGGAAAGAAAGATTGTTATCTTACCAACCGTTTTTGGCTGCTCATAAGCTGCTTTAAGAGTTCTACGAGGGAGGTCGGAGTCGGAAGAGTCAAGGCGATTGGAAGGATCTTGATTAAACCTTAAAAGATCTTGTTTCTCACTCTTGAAGAATCCCAAGTCAGATCGTCCACTGCAGAAGCTACTATTAATGGTTAAAAGGGCAAGTAACACAATAAAAAGAATGGTTGCAGGAGCAGCAACAATACTCATGGATTCTTTCATTGTTTCTACTTACTTACTCAGTCCTTCTTCTACCATAAATATGATGAATGAGCGTGTAAAACAATCTCATATTTCTCAGCTTGCGTGTTGACCTGGCAACCAATTTTCCAAAGTAGGTCCAGAACCTCATTTTTCTGCAAAAAAGTAGAAAGGAGCTCTGCTGGAATATTGCTATGGGTCAAGGTTTTAAATGTTTACAGTTGTTCTATGTCCCAACGTGTGCTCCTATGGTAATCAAGTCAAGTCAATTAAAGAAGGAATATAATTGCGGAATGGAAAATTCACACTTGTAGAGTTGTGTATTTCTATTTATCCATCGGAACCGAATCAAATAACATGTATTCTTATCCAAAATTTCTGTTGCACTTACTGCTAAGATTTCCCCCAATTGAAACGAGAAAATGATTAATCGGCTGTTTGCCAACCACCTAGTCGATTCATGACTGAATTGACCATTTATAGTCTAAAATTTTAAGTAAAGGTCTGACATATTTTTTACGATATCAATGTTCAACTAATTTTTAATTCCATCAATCCCTTTCTATCCTAAAACGTTACGTAGTTGATCATTCTCCTGTTGGGTTTTCCCTCTTATATGGAGGAAGTCCGAAAGCCCATGTGGTTTATTAAGTCCACATGGAGAAGGGGCATTTTTGTCTGTTACTCTTAGGGATGGGAGAGGAAAGGCTGGGGATCCCATTCCTTGGCCCCGTCCTTGACCCTTTGGGGATTCCCTAGGCCTGGCCTGTCCCGTCCTCAAGGTCGAGGATGAAGGGGGGATCTTGGGCACAGTCCACAAGGATTGGGTTGACCCCCTATCTCCTCCCAATCAATGAAGTCTTTGCGGGGTCAACGTTTATGATGGGCTTTAGGATTCTTGACTGTGGGCTGGATTTAGGCTTTAGGATTCTTGACTGTGGGTTGGATTAGGATTTTCATGGGTTTTAGAGCCTTAGGCTTTTTTTTTTTTTTTTAAGTAAAAGTACATTAACATTTGTATCTAATTTTCAGAAGGACAAAGGCTTTTATTTGAATACAAAAAACATCTATTATTACTCATTTGTATAATTGTATATGATTTCACTCAATGTTTCCACAATTATAATCACATTTGATCAATTAATAGTGTGAAAATAATAATTATTAAAGTGGTAATTTCGTGACAAATGTGATTTTTTTAGAAAAGAAAATGAATAAGAGAATTTCAAGCAAAATTATTGGAAAATTAATTACAAATATTATTTAAATGAAATGTCACAAATTAATTGATATGCAGTAAAACTTCTCACATTTATTGAATATTGATAAAATTGCCTAGAAAAGATCTTATATTAAAATTTTTAAATGAAATGATATATATATATATATTTTTTAATGAAATATATATATATATATATAGCCCGGGGGGGGGGGGGGGGGGGGGGAGGGGCATCCCCGAGGTCACGGAATTATTCTCTTTCATGGATTCCCTAGGCCATTCGCGGGGGGGCGGGGACCAACTCAAACGCCCATCTCTAAGTACTCATACATTGGTTTATGCATATTTGGTGGGTTTATTTTTTGTTGTTGCTGTGAATGTGTGAGAGGAAAAAACACAGAACAAATTTCAGTTTCATTATACTCCAATCAGACTTATCAAGCACTTTGATGGAAGGTCATTCGTTGTTAGATTGAGCGGGTGCGTGTGCGTGTGTTCAGTTTTCTTTATTTACATGATTTTTATTCCAACTTTCATACATTTGATTGTGTTTACGTGTTCAATTAGTTTTGAATTATATTATTTCTTTAAATTATCATAGTTTATTCTATACAATTTTTTTTATTTATCTTGTATAAATATATATAATTATCAAGGTAATGAAAATTATATCATTATTGCTTGTATATAGCTCTATTTATTTTATCAAACGTTTCTTATAATATTAAGTTTCATCTAAAATATTTAAATTCAACATATACAATTTTTGCCAATTCACAAGTAATTCTCTAGGAAAAGATTATCTTCAAGTTTGAGAAACACCATTTCTTTGACTGTTTCTTTCATGACACAACAAAAAAAAAAAAAAAAAAAAAAAAGATAAACCTCAAAAGCATTGTTGGACACGTCTAGAAAAGTTGTGTTAGAGGATAAAAAGGCAATGAACTTGACAATTATTTGAACTCAAGTCAACAATAGTGGATCGACAGGCTGGGTTAAATTTGGAATCTCTCTATGATTTGGTTATGAGAGAGATTTATATTTGAAAATGTAGTCCAAAACAAAACTGTAAGTGTATCAACAGTTCTTGAGTTGGATATGTCCAAAGTTAGAGTTTTTGTGAATAAGGCCGTGACGGAATAAAAGGCCCTAATGACAATGATGCTATATTTATATCATTTTCATACATATTATATGTGGTATAGTCACAATCACATAAATTATTATAATATTAAAAATTTATGTGATTGTATATATGTCACATCATGAGTAATGAATATGGTGTAAAAGAGTGGTGTAAACGTAATATTAATCAATGACAATATCCTAATTAAAATGCTCCCTGAAAAGGAGGAATCCAATCAGGATGACTTTTTCCTTCCCACGTGTTACTTGAAAGATCTAAAACTGCTAAAAACGAGAGTCTCCTATACAAACCGGAAAGAACCAGAAATAGGTGTAATTGGGATTAAAATATTTTATTTTTTTAAACTGCCTAAGTTGCTCGGTCAAATGACCAAAAAGATTAGTATTCTATAAATCCAGATTCTCCGAACCCTGAAACGAATCCTAAAAACATGTCTAAGACTTCATTTATTTCTTGACTCTTGACTCAAATTGACACTGACAAAAAAATTGAATGCAAGTTGCAAATTCTCCCCCTTGAACTTGTAATGTTTCCTCCAAAGATCAAGGTTTGAGAGAAGTCAAATTTCCTAAAGCACCTGAAATTCTCCCCCTTGTTCGATTCAAGAATTGAATTGGTGAAAGATAAATCAAGATGTTTAAGCGAAGTCAAGTTTGAAGTTCCTGGGGAAGTGAACCTCGAAATCCAGTTTCACTTAGTTCAAGAAACACTAAATTACGAAGACCAGAAACCAACCAAAAATCAAAGAGTTATGAATTTGGTTTAAATGAAAGATCAAGTGTGCTAAGAGATGACAAATTTCCAATTGGTGGTGGAGGAAATCTGTAAACTTGACAATATGATAATTTAACTCCACTAAGAAAGGAGCGGTTTACACCCACAGCCAATCAGAAACTTCTTGGTATCCCTAAAGCACAAATCAAGGCACTTCGGCAAAGAAAGACCAGACAGCCAACCCAAAATCTCAGCACGTATATTTGAATTATTACCAAGATATTGCAACAGATATTGGAGGGAAATTTCGTTGCACTAGTAGAATCTCTCAATCTGAAGCCATCAAAATGTCCCAAGTTGAAACCCTAGATATTGTCACGACCTCCAAGCTCGTCTCTAATCATCTCCATCTACAATATCTAATTGTTCTAGTCGCTATATATCAATTCATTTTTCTTATTTATTACTTTTTCATTGTTGAATCGCACTCTGTGATGCTTTTATATTTTTATCGTCAATTTAATTTTTCTCTATTTAGATTATTTTCTACAGAGAATAATTTTACTGAATCAGCGAATAAATTTCTAGGTATTATATTAGATTTTACCCATATTTTTATGCAACCAATCTGTTGTTTCTCGACTACGTCGAGTATTTATGAAAGCAACACAATATACAATTTGAATTTTTATCTCAGAGGATAATGTTCATCACAGTCTCCAATTCCAAAAGCATCATCCTGTCATTAACTTTAAAATAAGCTTCCAATCGTAATCAGAAAAACAATACCTTTTTGTTCTTTACATACGATGAAATTACATAAAGACAACAAAGCTCCAAACACAACACTAGCTAGCAACATTTTCTTACAACACTGACAAATTTGTCGCTAAGGCAATCTAGAATTGATAGTACATATACTCAATCTTCTGTCACAAGTAATGGACCTATTAGCTCCAAAAGCCAACCACAAAACCAAGTGCCATGCCTACATAGAACCAATCCACTTCATGTTTCATTATCGTTTTCCCCGCTATGGTCATAGGTTGGAGTTAAAACAGTATGTGGTGATGTGGCTGTGTTTGTGCCACGGTGGAGTCAATAAAAACTGGAAGAGTTAAAGGGGTCCAAAGCGACGACGTTTGTGATACTAAAATGGCTTTGTCTACTCATCGATCTAGCCCTCATTTTACACAGATTTCTCCTCTCTAACTGCTTGTTCCAGAATGTTCTAATGGGAGGCGGAATCTGTTGCTCATCTACAGCTGGATCTTCTTGGGGTTCCAAGTGGAGGCTGATCCTGGAAGGGGACCTATGTATAAAAGATTGACCTTTGATATGGATTTGCAGCAAGGGGAAAAGGGAAGAAAGCTAGGGTTTCTTCGGGTTGTATTCCTTTGCTCAATCTGTTTCTTTCTTTGTAAATCCCTGTAAATTGTCTCCTTGACTGTGATAGTATGATATCCTATTTGCACCTTGAAGGTGGATGTAGGCTACCCAACCGAACCACTATAATTCCTTGTGTTGATCTTTATCTCTTTGCTTGATCTGCTGTTTGCTAATGCCTGAGATTCAGAGATCTTAATCTGTGATTACTTTGTTGTTTGGAGATTGGTTGTTAACCAGAGATCTTAATCTGTGATTATCATCTTGCTATACTATTGATTATTTAGCCTTAGATCTGTAATCTGTGATAACTTAGGACACAAAAATCCTAAGAAGTACCAGTGCAATTCTTAAGAAGTGGAGATTCACAAAGGTCATTGCCAACAAAACTGGAAGGATCAAAGCTTTGTTGTTGAGTGCCCAAAGGAATTTTTCCGGTCAAGTTGTTGTTAGACAAGTTCAAGTGACTTAGAAATGTCAAACTTGAAATGACTTGTGGAATTTAACCGGTTAGTTGTTTTTCAGAGAAATCAAGAGATTCTAATGAGGTCATAGCACTGATAGTTTCAGGAATTCTTCCACTGAATGAATTGTGAGA